ACTGTGACACATGTTCATTTTATGTGAACCATAAAGTACAATATGTATCATGAGTAGATGGATGTATTATCCTTTATTACACTCTCAAATACGATAAAGTTTTTCTTCATTCTCCTGGTTTATTTGTTTTGTTTTGTTTTGTTTTGTTTTCTTCGAGTCAGGTTATGCCAGATGTGGCAGATCATCTTGCAGGAGGATAACAATCAGCCCATTTGCTGACTGAGCGACTACAGCCACTTAGAGTTGTGCACCCAGAAAGAGGAAAGAGACATTAGGTGAGTCACTAAGCCCAGAGATTTGATTGCTTATACACACATGGATGCCAAGGAAACAAAAACAACCATTCCAGACAAAGACGAAAACATAAATAGAACCATATGCTCTTTGATATCTATTTGTAATTAAGGCAACAAGTCATGCACTGAGAGAACTTGTGAACCAGCTTATCCCCTCCCTTTGCGATTATCCTCTCTATCTTCCAATCATTCTCTCCACTTGCTGTAATGAGGTAATTTGTCTGCAGAACACTGAATGCACGCTGATATCTGAGACTTCTTGAAGTTAAATATTTACTTTATGAGGAACTGTGGACTACTTTCAGGGCATGTGGGAATATAGATGTTAGAACATTTGTAGTGTGGTGTTTTGGGGACTCAAATGAAATTTCTGCCTTTTCAAGTGTCTGCAGGTAATCCGGTTAATCAGTGTCAACAATCAATAATTAGCATCTTTGAAAACCTTTTCATGACACAGTTGATGTGTTCTTGCACAAATACCCTGATGTCTTACCTGAGTAGGGAATTTCCAGACATTTGCTGACTCTGTGCAACAGCTTTCTTTTGTCTCTGCTTTTGTGTTGTGCATATTTATGCAGTAAGACGTGCATCTTTGTACCTGTACGGTCGCTTATTTGTCCCTGTAAAGACCCTGTAGTAGACCAGAAATTCTGTTTATGAGTTAAGAAGACTTAGATGTAGTTTGATGCAAATTTTCTGCAGCAAGGAATTATTTCTAGTGTTATTAATCCCCAGTAGACAGGCTTTCAAACCTCTAATTAAAACATTATAAACTGGTCCACCCCAAGGATTGATCCCCCGGCACAAGCAGATTATAATGTATGCGGTGAAGAGCCAGGAGGACCTGTGATTTCTAAATCCTGGAAACCAAACAACCTCCGGCTAAGTGGATGGCATAACACAGAAGAACTACCTCGTTGGGTCAGGACTCCACAGTTTGTTACACCTACAGGCCAGTGGGCACTTGTTCAATGATGAGGATGTACACATCCTAGACAGGGAGGAACGCTGGTTTGAGCAGGACGTCAGTGAGACCATTTACATGAAAAAAGGAAACACACACTTCTGAACTGAGGAGGGCGCCCAAGTGTACATATGCAGCCATTTTCCAACTCTCTCTGTAAGGCACTCATGACGTTTGATCAATGGTCGTGACAGTTTTCATATTATTGATCATTAAACTGACCTCATGGCCCAATGCTAGTCAGGGGTGCTACTTTCTGTTAGGTTGGGGTTGAGACAGGTTGATGAAGCTTGCAGTCAGAAGAAGTCACTTGGATGAGAGAGGAAATGTTTCTCCCTCTGAAAACATTACAGATGAACAGAATCGACTGTCTAAGAGTTCAGTATATCGTGACTTCCTGTAATAAATACATGTAGAAATGGTGATGTGAAATAATCAGATTGTTATTACAGGTACACCAGAACTTTGAAGCTGAATGCTGAGGTCAGTATGCTAGCAGACTAACAGTAATAATGCTAACATTACTGATGTTTCAAAAGTAATGTTTGCTATTTTAGTTTAGCATGTCAGTGAATTAGCAGGTACGCTGATGAAAATAGCCTGTAATTCTTTTGATATGTGGCTGCAAACCATTAAGGCTTCTTCAGTTTGCTGGATTAAACCAAAGAAGCCTCTTGGATGAAAGGTGAAACCAAAAAGAGGTCCAGCTGCTTTCATTTCAAGCATTTAAGTCTACCATGAACTTTATGACTGACAACCTACACAGACATTTAGGCACAAACCATAAAACGTAACACAGATTAAATTTTTGACTGAATGAAGGTGCTGGATAAACGTCAACAGATAGGTGAATACTTTAATTTTAAAGTAATCTGGATCCCCACTGGGGACCAGTTATGGTTTTTACAGCATCCCATAGCGGTACAATAATTGTCTGGTTTCTTCAAAGCTCAAAGTGTTTGATGGATAGACGAACCAACAGGCTGAGGTTGTCAACACCAAAGACACTGCTAAAAAGATAACAACAAACTGTATTTAAACTTACACAGAATTATTGGTGGGTACATTTATATAGCACCGATAAGGTGGCACCTCATTGGTTATAACACTGTGATTATTCTGTATGAGGACACATTGTAAAAGATCAGAGTTGCTAAAATATAGCGAGAGTACCAACAGGCTTTTCTTTCATATATTAAAATGACAACATAGAAATAAACAGTTTTAATTGTGTACATGTAACAAATCTAGACAAAAAAAAAGACGTGGATCCAGACAACCTTATCAAAAAGCTGATTGTACTGAATATATTTTAGAAGTCAGAAACTGTTATAGTTACAGTTTACACAGTACTTAACCTGTATAACATGGTGAACACAGAGAATTATATTTATGATGCACCTCACTTGTTCTCGGACAGGCTCTTTCATGTCACTGCAGTCCCTTCTTACTTTATCAAGTGTAGCTCTTCACACATGGGGAGCTAAGATTGCCTTAAAGATGAATTAGTTCATGTTAGCACTCCTGCAAAAGTGCTGGGTCATCACAGACTCACAGTATATTTTTACTGAAACCTTGTTATGATTTTTTTTTTTAAAGAAGAAGAAGAAACAAATATCAAAATCAGGTATATTTTAGTGGGTGAGTCACTCGAGACCCTTAGCTGTAGATGAACAAGCAGCTCTTTTCTGTCAGAGCCTATATGAATCAAATGTCTTGTCATTTGGGACATGGCTACCTTCACTGAGCTTGGCAACCCAATATAGTACAGAGCTGACTGAGAAATAGTAGATACACCCGAATAAATACACCTCTTCCTCTTGTTAGTTCAAAATAATCCCATTTCCTTAAGTTAAATCAGCCCCGTGGGTCATTTTGCACTTTCTTTACAGTCTCTGCATTCATCATCATCATCATCATCATCATTGTTGTCGTCTCATCACACAGAGACAAAGGAGGTTCAGATCTCTTCATAACATTGTCAAGACACTGTACTTTTTTTCTCAGGCTCTATGAAAATGTAGCAAATGATCAAAACAAATCATATTCACAAGGGGCTGCATGTCATTTTTGGGTAAAGTAAAAGAACAAAAAAAACAAGCAGACTGGAGTTTGTCATACAAACATTTCTCAGAGGCAGAGCTGCTCTGAAGGCAGAAATAATCTCATTAGTTCAGTCACAGTAAAGCTATATTATCTGACCCCACTTGATCAGCAAGTTTGTGTTAACTAGTGACAACTAGCTGGTATCTCTACAATCTGCTAATGATCCTGCTCATACACTGATGATGACGCTGTCTTTAAATTGCACAAAAGTTTTGGTGGCTGGAGCCAAACCTGAAGCAAAACTTGTGTCTATATTAAACTGGAGCCTTTTGAAGTCTGAAGTTTAGACTTATGTCTGACAAGTTTCGCATTCACTGTTCACACGTAGCACCGACTCTTCCACCATAACCAGCAAACTGAATCCTGCTGTGACCTGCTGTCCATCTACACCAAGCGGTGCAAGTCCAAAGCTAGGAAGATTATGATGGACCTCTCCCATCCCAACGATGGACTCTTCTCACTGTTGAGGTCTGGGAAGCACTTCCGCTCCCTTAAGGCCAAAACAGAGAGAATGAGGAGGAGCTTCTTCCCCCAGGCTATTCGGGCCCTGAACCAGGTGTAGGACTGGACTCTCACACACGTCACATCACCACACACACTCTGGTTTTTCTTCATGCACACTTCCTATAATTTATAATCTCTTTCTGCTATTTGCACATTTTTTTACTGTAAATTAAAAAGTTAAATCTGTAAATTTTGCATAACCTGTAAATTGTAAATACTGTAAAACCACTGTCATTTAATGGTCGGGCATTGCATTGCACAGCTACAAGCATTTCACCTCATGTCATATTGTGTATGGTTGTGTGTGTGACAAATAAAAATTTGAATTTGAATTTGAAAACACGAATCATAACAACTTTGTCATCACAGGTTGATGAAGGGAAGCATGATTTGTGGTCTGAGTTATTGTTGTTTTTGTTGTTTGTTTGTTTGTTTTTTGACAAAACTACATGGATGCTACATTTTTCACTTCAAATCCAGTTTCTTTTTCTCTTTTATATTACAAAGTCTCTTAAATACTTCATCTGTTTTTAGTGGGCTTTGCATTGTATGCATCTTGAAGGCACTTGTCCATTAGTTTACACATCTGGCTTGACTGTGTTAAAGCTACAGTGGACAAAATCGTTTTGGCAACAATGAAAAAAAAGAAAATCGATAACCTCCCACTGTGCTGTAATCCAGCAGTTGCAGAGGAAAGTGGAGTGCTGCACTTTCTCTGGGTTTTGTTTTCAGGCTTTAAAAAGCTAGCTCATGATTGGCGAGGCAATCCGCACAGACTGGAATAGCTGACCACACCATTAAAAAGTAGCTTTATTTAAATCTGACTCCAGATTATCCCACTGTGAAGTGCTGCACCTCTCCCTCCACGTCTGCTCCACTTGGATTGCTAACTCTTGGTGTGCCCAGGTGGATGCTCACTGAATCTCTTCCACCTCTGTTCAAAAACAGTCAAACCTCACTTGATGTCAGCTGGGAAAAGAGGACAAACCTGAAGAGAGCCAAAACTGAAAAACTTGGTGCTACCTTCTGAACTGATATGCCTTTTTGGCCTTAAACAAGTCCTCCACTAGAAACTGCTTTCTGGTCTCTGGGCCATTCCCAGCTATGGTCGATAGTGATGATCATCGCTATCATGGTTGCGTTAGTTTGACTTTAAAAAAAAAGTCTGTTTTGTGTCTGCAAAGCTAGTCATGAATGGGACTTCCAATGGGTGATCCAAACATACCCAGAGCACTTGGAGCTGTGCATGGCTGCACAAAGGGAGAATAACACCAAACTAAATTAGCCATGTTTTTGCAAAATGTACACCTTTTATCTAAAGAAATGAATTCCAAGCAGGAACATGCAGGACCTTCAGATGGGAGAGAGAGGTTTGAATTCTGTATGATGTTAACAGTGAAGTTACCTTGTTTTGGGCACATCTGGTAGAAGGAACCCCAACGATGGGAAAGCCATAGGAGATGGCTGGTTATTTTCGAACTTTCTCCTTTTTTCTGCCTTTGGTTGATTTCTACCTACTGCAACTCTATCATGAATGCCGTGTACATACAGATCAAATGTGATTACCATTCCCATCTCTCGCCTTATTCAGTTTGCCAGGAATGTTCTTTGGCTTTCCTTATTTACTCTCATATCTATATTTATTTCCACTTTCAGAAGAGCTCTGCCTCATAAATACTCACATTACTAAAAGTACTGTGTGTCAGATTGTGGAACAGGATTCTGTACAGTGACAGGTCAATTGACTGAAGAGCCGTGGAGTGCTGCTGGACGTACGCTCCACTCTCAGACCTCCAGGAGACTCTGAGGCACTGGTTGTTGGTGGTCAGGCTGGAGGCGACAAATGGGCTTGTTGCACATGGGGCACACGCTGCGAATCTCTAACCATTTTAGCAGACACCTGCATAAATGTGGATAGACATGAGGCAAAGACACAAAGTTGCAAAGTTATGTGAAAAGGTTCAGTTTTAACCACGTAGCATCCATCAGATCACCAGAGAAATACTTAAGGTTCCATTTTAGCAACATGTTAAACAAGCACAGTCTCAGAAGCAAGATCATGTTACCTTTTAACTCAGCTCCTTTACATGGATTTTGGCCTTTCAGCTTTCCTATTTTAAGATTTAAACCTGAATACACCAAGTAGGTGAAAAGTCTATATAAAAGGGTCAATATGAACTGAACCTACCCTGCCCCAAAAAAGATCCCTGGCGACCCAGTGATGGTTTAGTGGTTAAAAACACAACAAAAGAGAAATACAGGAACAGTGACAGCTCACACACTTTGTAAACAGCATGTACATTCCAGAAGCTGGTCTAAAACTGCTGCTGTTACTGTCACACCTAAGCTGCAGGGTAAATTCAGGGCTCAGTTACAAAGGTCCTCCTGTTCAAACATGCACGGTCAAGAGTTCTTAGAAATCTGGTAGTCATTTCCTGCGAGCGTTGCTGGGCATCTTTTTCCAAATTTTTTCGGCTTCAGTGATTGCGTCAGCTGCTAATTGAAGGCAGAGACCAGCAAGAAATTTGCACATGTCGTTTCTCCAGCTGGTCGAGATCCTTGCACGTTTCACTAAAACTTTTAAGCTTTAAAAAAGACGAATGGAGCCACGGTCGGGCAGTCAGCTTAGGTGCATGATTACAAGTTTGTGAAACCACTAAAACAAATGAAACATGTTTGGAGTTTGGAGTTTTCATAACATGGAGTCAGTTGTTTGCTCTCATGAAGGTTTGATAATTACCATGGAATGATGTACTAAACAACTTACTTTTTGTGAAAAGCATGGGAACACGGGCACACTCCAAGCTCGTCCCTGCTGCGAAACTCTTCCAAGCACACCGCACATGTTTGCTGAAAAGGCCAAATGACGGTTTAATTCAAAATTCAAAAGGACTACCTTTTTTTTTTTTACACTTATTGTGTAACATCAGGGTGTGATTTCACAATAGAGACCATCTTTTCATTCGCTCATTGGTAGCTTAAAAGTTACATTAAGATATAGCAGTTACTATAATTTTTCAGAGATCTTCCTGAAGCTCCTGAAGCACACATTTATTGCTAGCTGTGAGTACCTCGCCTGTTTCTCTTGGGTGAATAACCACAATACCAATTTTGGCATTTAATCAGTTAATTCGATTGCTTTACTTTTCCAAAATCTAGTTATGCTTATTATGATGTATCAAACTGCTAAAATAATGAATTATAAATACATAAAATCTAGCACAAAGTGGTAGCTACAGTCATGAAGCCATGCTCGTGGAGCACCTGTAACAGCCATAACTTAAAGTAAAGTCTGCAGGACTTTATCAGTGGCTCCTATACAATGTGGCTTCAGTTCATTGAGTTTTGTGGGCATTTGTTTATGCACAAAGGTCCTGTCACAGCGTGTCAGCCGGGTTGAGGTCTGGACTTTGACTGGGTCACTTTGATTCTTTTCTTTTTTTACCCATTCGGGTTGTAGATTTGCATCTGTACCTGGGATTGCTGACCTTTATCTGTCAGACAGATGGCATATTTGACTCAGAATACTTTGGTATACAAAGGAGTTAATGGTTGACTCAGTGACTGCAAGGTGCCCAGGCCCTGTAGACCAGCGGTCTCCAACCTTTTTTGCGCCACGGACCGGTTTATGCCCAACAATATTTTCACGGACCGGCCTTTAAGGTGTTCAACAAAATAAAACTAGTACCGGTACCGAAAAAAAGAAGATTTATTCATAACACACGTGAAAAGACCCAGGAAAACCGAGTTAACAATAAAAACGATAACAAAATAACGCTGAAAACCGATAAAAACCCTGAAAACCACACATTTCACACCTGAGCCTCAACTCTCACGAACCGGTACCAAACGACTCACGGACCGGTACCGGTCCGAGGCCTGGGGGTTGGGGACCGCTGCTGTAGACTGACCAGATCACTAAAAGCCAAATGTGAGGCAAAAACTGTTTTTGTGTAGGAGAAAGCGGGATGACAACGCTGAAAAGTAGACTGAAATTTGTCACATCGAACTTGAAAATAAAACTCCAATCAATTGTGCATGTTACCAGATTGTAAATTACTATGTATGGGCCAACTATGCACCTGTTTTATTTCACTGCTATTTCAGCAGTTTGTATGTTTCACTTTTGATTAATCTAAATCTAGATGCCAAATACATAGATTGGCATACTTTTTTCAGCCACATCTGACAATTTTTGCCATTTTTATCCAATTATGACCCCAAAAATTATTGTGTTAGTTCACACCATAGTTCCCTCCTGTGGGAAAACGAAAAATAACTCTAGCAAAGAAGACAAAAATTCTTTCTAAGAACATACTGCCACTTCATTTTTGTTGTAGTCAGAGATGGGCAGTAACGCGTTACTGTAATCCGATTACTTTTTTCAAGTAAC